TCATCAAATACCAATGTTGAGGTTCTAGTTTGCAAGGTTGCCATCAAAAGAACATCTGGTTAACATTTGACTATAGAAATTTATAGTCAAACTGGTTGCCTCCTGATGGGAACTCTAGAATATTGCATTGTGATGCGAAAATATTGATTGACAGCTTGCTGAATGCAACTTGCAACTTTCACTTCAAATTTGCTAGAATAGTTTGTGAATTATTTTCAAGTTCCATTTTCCCATATAAAACAAGCTAATTGCTGATCTGTTTCTAAGAAACAAAATAAAATTGCTCAATTTTTGCCTGTTTATCAACGTAACAGACTGCAAGAATATAGCATTCAAATTGCCATTGTCAGGAAATCACACTTCAAAAGTAGTCATGTGAAATATGACATTTTTATTTAAATTCCTATGAAGTGAGTCTGTTGCTCATTTCATGCAGCAAACTGTCAATCAATATTGGAACATTGCACCACAAAACTGATGAGTTCCTGTTAAAAAAAAATTACCAGCAGTTTGACAGTAATTTGTAGGATTAGCTGTGTTGATGATGTGATCAAAGACTAATTGGTATGTTGCGATGATGTTTGGTCTTTTAATGCCTTTAATGTCTTTTAAAAAGAGAACCTACTGTATTGAAACTGATAGGGCAGGCAGTGCCTGAGTAGGAGTTTTTTTGGAAGTAACTCCTCTTTATGAATCATAACACTAAGTACAGTTCACATGAAAATGTTTTGTTGAGAATATCCTGCTGGGAGGAGTGTTGTAAAGACTTAAAATCAATGTTATATTTTAAACTTACCTTGTAGCTTTTCCCCATTATTGAGGTTATACACTGTATCACATGTGTGGTATGTATATACATGTGTACAGGGGCTGATTAAATATATTTATTTATTAAATGTTAATTTTCTTTAACAGAAATGGTTTTGTTTTTACAGAAAAGGAGAAATGCTAAATAAATATTCCATTTACTATACATTTATGTGTGTTGATTTAAGTCAGGACTGTGGGTGTGAGATGATTGGACAAGAGAGGATTGCATTAATCAAAGTAAATGCGATTCCATTTTAAACTGCCACTGAAACAATGAAATTTCTGATATTTTATCAAATGCAGTGTATTATTGGGTACTTGCAACCCTAATACTGAAATAACGTGGAAAAATCAATTTTGTGCAAATTGACAACAGGGTCAATGGAGGGGAAAATAATTTTGGATTATTCCATGACAAAGATGATATTTACTCTACATTTGTCCTGAATTTGTTCTTACAAATGTCATCTTTAACGCATTTGTCTTTGTTTAGAGCAGGAAAAATCATGATATTTAATTCAGATTTACACCACATTTGTCCATATTTACACCCCAAAGCAAATGCACAATTATCCTATTTATCTTCAAGTCAAATACAGACAAATATGACAAACATCACATTTGAACCACATTTGAACTGCATTTGTCTGACGTCAAATATGATTTTTCGCCCAGTGAGTGGGTCAGGAAATTTTAATATTAGAAATATTTTTTAAGTGGTGTCCATATACGCAACACGCTTCGCATAATTTTCGCTACTCACTCTTTAGATGCGAATATCTAGACAACCAATCAGAATAACGGAAAAGCCTGACACGCTTTTGCTGATTGATGCCTTGTGAATGAGACTGTGCAGCCATTTTTCTCGTGCCGCGGGATCCGATACCCGATAAATTCAATAGAAAGACCCTCGGTCGTTTCACGTCTTACCGGCTCCTGACAATTCCTAATTGAAAAAAAATCGCCTAACTTATATTTTTATCGTAAGCTGTATTTATTAAGCTTTGTTTTGATGTCTAGTTTGCTAGGGTTTTCTTCAAACTACCGCGTGTACGAATTTTTTTCCCGATGGACACCGGCAAAAGTAGGAAGTAACCATAAATGAAAAAAAATTAACTTCACCTGACTAAGCTATTTGACACCCTCAGGAGACAGCTATGGCGAGTCTCGTCTTAAACCTATGGTTAGGGTTAGGGTTGCAGAAATCACTTGAGTTCCATTGACCTTTTTCCAGTATTTTGATGTTAGGGTCACAGTTGGGTTAGGGCTACAGTTGGGTTAAGGTTACAGTCGGGTTAGGGCTACAGTCGGGTTTGGGCTACAGTTGGGTTAGGGTTAGGGATTAGCACAAGTCAAGTGACAAGCATTCTGACTGCCCTCCAACACCCTGGGGCAAGTGGCCAGATAGCACTGGTCTTGCTGAGCCCAAAACATTTTGCAGCAACCTGAAAATTTAAAAACTGTTCCCTGCACTTTGTGTTCTAATCCCAAATTGAGCCCGCTAAGGCTATTGACAACTACCCTCCTCCTCTAAATCCCTTTTCATAACTAGTTAACAGCTTGCATAGTTAGAGACATGAAAATAGCAATATAGTGACAAAAGGAAGATTTTATTAATTAATTGCTTAAGGCTTTTCTTTTCATTTAATTGTTTAGCTGTAATCATTTTAACAGCTTTTCTTGTCTCTGAGGTGGCTCGTACTGGTTTCCTCGCGCGGGGAACAGTTTACTCTTGCGTCACGCGCGAGAGAAACGTGCGAAAGAAG